TTTATCGCGAGCGTTATCTGAACGTCCACGATGCGCGTGAGACCGATCATAGTCGAGTGCTACTGTAATAGCGTCGGTCAAAGTTGCACCCGTACGGTACTGGGCTTCTTCGCGGATACTTGACGATAATTTTTGCAAGAAATACATGATCTTGTCCAGCTCACTCATTTCCTTGACTTGAGTAATCAAATGCCTGAACTTGCTGATATAATCAGGCAAATCCTTGCAATGACGCTCCTTCAAGTCGTTCATCCGGTCTCTTAGACGTTCTTGCAAATCTGAAGGGACAAACTTCCCCTCTAACTTGCCAAAGAAGTCTTTAACACTCTGCACCTCGTCCTTCTTGACGATGTACCACTGCGCGGCTCCATCCTTCAACGACCCTCCCAACACTACCAATATGCGTCCTCTCAATTTACTATCTTTCCAATCAATTCCCTTTGCTAAAAAGTACTGTTCCACTTGCTCCCGGTATAACTGGAACGATTCCATGAGTGTTCCTCCGTAGCTGGGCATTTTTATCCCATCCAGCTTGAGCTCCAACAGTTGTCGCGACTTACGCAGCTCGTCGATTAGTTTGTTTGCTTCTCCATGGCCGGAACGGCGTTACCGCAACCATACTAAAACAACTTTAACAACTAAAAGCAACCATAGTGGACGGTAATTTAATTTATTCCGCCAAGTAATTAACGCAGTCCACTGGTTTGTCTAAAAATAGAGATGAGTCTGACACACCAGATTCCACACACATTTTGCTCAAAACAGCATCTCATGTGTACCACATCCAACACTTAGCATTTTCACAGCTCAAGAGTGCCTCAGATGGACGAGAAAACATTGGCGCGCGAGTTGGTTCGCGCTAGACTTGACGAGCTCGCGGATATGAAGTAAAAGCTGGAGACACTGAACGGGAAACTAGGGAAGCTGCTGAAGCTTCAACTGGAGTTCCGCGCGTTGATAGAAGACAGCGAGGAACGCAGTTACGCATTAGCAGCAGCTTTGGACTACAAAGACGAAAGTGTCCAAAATGGTGTTTTTTTTCTTTCGGCCTTCTGTTGGAGATGGTGGTCAACAAATTGAGAGGTTAGAACGCTTTGAAAGACGTTCGTATTCGTTTATTCAACAATGCAGAGCCATCGTAATATCAACTGAAATGATAAGCCAAAATCATACCCATGCGCGCGGCAGATTGCGCATCCCAGCAATCAGATAAACTTCCTCGTCTTCTTCGCCAGGAAGATAGTCGCCATCGCTGGTATCATCCTTCTCGATGCCGAGTGTAACCAGCATGTAATTTAGGTCGACATTTTAATCCCGCCGTCACCGCCCTTAAATGCATAAATATAAACTGTAGGATATTTCGTCAACTGTTCCTACATACGAGAATTCTCCTACCATGCGCAGCCGGCCTCTCCATTTCAGACGTGTATCGTTTTCTGTGGCATCTTGGCCTCTCCCCACCCCAGCAGCTTGTCTTCGTACCTCTGCTGACGTGGCGACGCGGCCTTCAGTAGGTTTTCCCGCTTTTTCGTAAATGAGCGGCTCTGGTTACTCGTACTTAAGTGAAACATTTTTTTAGTACGCACCTAAGAGACAAACTGAAAATTAAAACATTATTTTACGTCTGGAAATTTTGAATTTTGTTAACGCAACCATAGAGGTCTAAAGCAACCATAAATGTCGCGTATTATGGTTGCCGCAACGACTCCGCCATGGCCGCTAGCATACTGTGCATAAGCTGGGCCGAATCTGTCATGTCTGATAATCTTGGTACTTGATACTTAATACCGGTTGGAACAAACTAATTTCTACAGGCACTGACTAAAAGAAACTAAAGAGAAAACCTGTTAAATAAAATAGCCTATGTTCCTAACTTGGCAGGGTTATTCTTTTTTGGAGGTCTTGACCTTCTTTGATGACGTTGAAGAGGTTGGTGAAGTTACAGAGGTCGAACGCTGACGTTTCTTGCCTTGGCTCTCTTTTTCCACCCAATCAGGGACGTGGATCTCAATTTCTCGTTGACGACTCTGCACGGAAAGTGAAACACGATACTGCGCCTTTAAAAGCTGCTTCTTCGTGGTCTCCAAAGCGAGGATGGCCTTCTTTTCTTTCGGACGTTCTCCTAAGTTCGTTTTTATGTCTCTACGCAAAGCCTCTAAAATCCGATTGGATTTGTACATAGAGTTATAGAGGTCTTGACGAGCTTTGTCCGCGCGGCGAGCTGCAAGCCGCAGGAACGAGCCGATCAGTTTCGTGTCTTTGTGGACCTTTTTTGGTGTCCTTGTTATCCCCTAGCCGTATTGGGCCACAAGCAGCCTTGCTAGGGTAACCAGAACTATACTGACTATACCGGCTGGTTTGAGACTTGCTCAAACTTAATAGCAGTGCAGTATTGAAGAACGGTAACTACTTGTAGCTAGAAAACCTTCACCGGGGCCAGATGTGTAATTACACACCACGATCATACACCAGCTAGTGCACACTGTCAGCTTGTGAAGTGACTTGATTACCCGTAAGTAACACTTAGTCACAAACACGTGATTCGGTTTGATCACATTGATGTGACACGTAACCGTAATCAAAGGCCTCCCCAGGTCTTGATGTTGACGTCCGACAGCGGCGAGCCATCTCTCCCCCGGAAGTGCTACCAAATGTGATGACTGGTGCTCTGTAGAGTGTTTGTCGTAGGAGAGTGTAGGTCATTTGTAGAATGTAGGTCTTGTGCAGGTGAAGCGAACTAGGTGTTGGTCTCGAGTCTTGGGGGGTAGTTGGTATATTTAAGAGTGAATTCCAACTACCAAATACATGCCTTCATGTGCTCTTAGGCGAGCACAGGGGCTTCCTTCTTGTCTACTTATTTTTGTGTCCCTACTCTCGTGTCTTTTTGTTTTCTTCTTTTCTTTGTTTCTTTTGCTTTTCTTTCTCTTATATGCATGTTCATTGGAACTAAATGTGCCGTCACTGCTGCTGTTGGTCTTGAAGGCAACAGTAGCAGCGACGTGCGGTGCGAGCAAGCAAGCCAGAGCCTTTGCACCCAAGCTCTCTGGCTTGCTTGCGCAACAAGCCGGAGGCGGGTATGCCAGATACGTCGTCATTTTTTCAGTGCTTCTTTCGTGCATGCGGGTGCCTTGTTGACACAAGTAATGGACTCGCGTTTCATGCAATATCGCTCCAAGACTTGCCCCTTTTTGAGCAAATTCTTCTCCGTCGCTGGTCGAAGCAGTGGAAACTGCTCTAGCAGCCAGTTCTTGCCCTGTCGGTAGTACTGCTTCACCGAATGTCTAGCCAAAAGCTGGCCGTTGCGGCCTTTCTTGAAAGCTAAATGCATGCCGAACTTGTCTACCACTGCCTCCAGCACGGTAGCAGCGTTGTCGCGCTTCATGCTCACCTCCAGGTACTCCCATGTCACGCCTTCCTCATTGAGGAAAGCCTTGAAGGAACGATACGCGCTCTCGCGTGCGCGCTTTGTGTTGGCAGGCGCGAGGTCTGTGATGCTCGTGGAGTGTCGGAGAGGTCGGGGTTTGCGTGTTATTTGTGAAATATGCAAATGATTAAAAGTTTGTATGGGAATATCAATAATAGCTAGTATGGCCCCTACCAGATATGTCGGAGCTGTTGTTTACAAACGCAACTCGCATCGGATTGGTCAAAATAATGCGCTATCTTTGTTTGATTCGCTGAAAAAAAATCATGCCTGCTGGTTGGTCAATACTGTAATAGTGAGTTCTAGTATTGTCGGAGATTTAGCGATATTCATCCATAAATAAATATATAATTCGTAATGCTCTGTGTCACGGTCTACAGCTAGATGGAGGTGTTGGAAGTTGACCGTGATCACGGTTCTCTGGACCGGTTCGGGCGCCGACTGTACGATTGCGCAAGCAGGGACGGCAACGGATGGTTGCCGGAAGATATTGCAGGAAGACAGTAGTAACTGTCAATATCACTTTCCATATTTTCACAGTATCGCTACAATCTAACAGGAGGTCTCGCCATTCTCGCGGAGTGCATCCAGAAGGTCTGCTCGCTACAGGGTCAACGAGCTACATCCAACACGCAAGAACAAGAGGAGCAGACGTTGGCGTTCCACGTCTAGAGTGGGACCGAAACGAAGGGAATGAGGAGGTACCTCGATGTGGACCGCTGCGTGCGAAAGATTTGTGGACAGGTAAGGAGCTTCAAGGTCGTAAGGAAGAGGCTCAGTCGTGTTTTTCCTTCTTAAACAAGAAGCATTCTGAATATATCAAGTTACATTTGGAGTTATTGCGCTAGTTCTCGTTCCTACGTCGGCCTGCTAGAAACACGACCCCGACACTAAGGAGGAAGACCGCGACATCTGTGTGTTATGTAGAGACATAAATGAGTCTTAGTGTGAATCAGTCGGTCGCATGATGTACATCAAATACCGTATGTGCAATTAAACATTTTAGCATACGTTTGAAAATGATGCGCTGAAATATGATATGCTGCAGCATACTATTTTATAAATGTTTTGAATCAGTTGCCCACACTTTTGACTGTGATACCAAATAGATGGCTAACGAGGCTTTCCTTCCGATAACTCCATGGAAATAGTTTTTGTGAAACCACCAGGTTGTTAAAGTTGATTGATCAACCCCAGCTAATATACACAGATATATTTGTGAAATATAGCAATAGCCTTCGATTTTATTGCAATATTTCAGACTCATCACAAACGTTGCTCGAACGTCGCTTGAGTGTCGCCAAAGAAATCAGTTGCAACTTGAGGGTAAAAAACCGCAGGATCAGGGTGTGCTAGTACATAAAATGAGCTTAGAGATGGCAGCCTTTTCCCCTCCAAAACGAAAGAAGAAGCGAGCAGGTCGAGTCGTCTCGGATCAGCTCCACGCGGCCTCTACTAGACAGCGACACTACGCGGCCCTATTAACCATGGGAGGCATTCTCCAGAAGATGTTGCAAGCCTTCTACACCAAGAAGCTCGAGGTCGTGCTCGTGGGTCTTGAGAACAGGTGCGTCGCGTCGCACTAATGAGGATCTGAGCTTGCCGGCCTGATTCCTGATTCTTTGCTGCTTCCAGTGGCAAGACAACGCTGCTGAACGTGATGGCCATGGGCCACCCCGTGGAGACATGTCCAACCATCGGTCTGAACGTGAAACTCGTGAAAAAAGGAGGCGTACAGATGAAATGTTGGGATATCGGCGGGCAGGCACAATACCGAAGCGAATGGGGCCGCTACACGCGCGGCTGTGACGTCATTATATATGTGGTGGACGCCAATGCGGTACGTTGCCTTACATTCGTGAATTTGCTGCTGTTTGGGCCTATCTATTGACTGTTTTCGGCCCTTGCTACAGTTCGACCAAATCTCCCTGGCGCGGAAGGAGCTTCACCGTCTACTAGAGGATCGGTAATGCAGTTAAAGCGTGCTAGTATCTGCTGAATCAGGCGTGCTGATTTCTTTTTATTGCTGTGCAGTGAACTGGCGACGACGCCGCTGCTGGTGCTGGCCAACAAGATCGATCTGGAGCCTCACATCTCCGAGCCGGAGCTCATTCGCGAGCTGAACCTGGACTACATCGTGGACAACCCGTGGCTGGTGATCCCTATCTCGGCGCTGCGTCTCGTCAACATCGACCAGGTCATCCAGTGGCTCATGAAGCAGTCGGGCAAGGGCTAAAGCGTCTCTAGGTTCGGAGAGAATGTGGCTCTGATGCTGCACTAGAGAAGGTTATGATGAAAGACGCATTGCAGAGTGGAGATGGCAGACAAAGGATACTATTGGTCGGGTGCGACAACAGTTGACTGTAACCAGGGGCAGGCCATGACGAAGCGTTCTGTAGAGTTGCAGTGCAGTTAAGCAGTTTGCCTTTGTCATAAACTCTTACCTAATGAGCATTTGAGTGAAGTTTCTCTGTTGAAGCACAGAGAGTGGAGATCGCTTCTCAGATAGGAAAATTAATGCGTTTCTCATTTGCCACCACGTTGGCCACGCTCCTTGTCATTTTAGATCTTTTCCATATTTCTAGTCGAGGTTGGTTAAAACGACGCAGTTCTAGATAATGGAGAGCTTCTTCCTGCAACATAGCGTGCTTCGAGACCGCGATTCAGACGAGCTGGGCGGCCGCGTCAACTCCGATTCGGAAGCTAGGTACGCGAGGTCTACGCGTTAATTGGGTTCTAATCAACTCAAGAGTGCACAATTTTGTGCTGCAGCGATGAGGATGAAATCACGGATCGAGTACACTCCGTGGCGGATCCAACGGGGCCATGGGCACAGAAGGCTGTGGACGGTGAGACGTGGGGGAAACCCACGCGCGGATTTCGCGGTGGCAAGGCGCGTGACTTCGCCTCGGCAAACACTGGACCAAAGGGAGTCATCAATGACTACAAGACTCATAAACGCTATCAGAAGCAAGAGGTGCGCTACACCACGTCCTTATACGAAGTGAAAAATGATGAACTAACGTGTGTATTATGTGCAGCGTCAAAGGAAGGAAGCTGAGCGTGAAGCAGTCCTTACTCGTATTGCCAAAGGTGCTACCGTCAGTTCTACTCCTTCGACACGTGACTCAACTGCACACTTGGATTGCGAGTGTGATGGAGGCTCAGACTGTGAATGCGACGACAGTGACCTGGTAGACGACGCCTTCTTGGCACAATATGCCGAAATGCGAGTGAAGCAGATGCAGGACGCAGCACGCAACCGCAAAGTTTACGGGGAGCTCGAGTACATCACACCGGAGCAGTTCGTGGCACTCACCTCTAAAGCAGACACTGATCGCAGCATGCTCGTGCATCTCTATCATCCCGAGAACTATGCCTGTGGGCTACTCAACTCCCAACTCGAGCTTCTGGCACGGAAACTCGTCCACGTCAAGGTAGGCCTGTAAATGTTCAAAACACGGGATGTAAGCACTAATTGATACTCTAAGTTCACGGCGATGTTGGCCAAGGAAGCCGACGCGTCCATCGAAATGGCAGATCTTCCGGTGGTACTGGTCTTCTGCGGACATCAACAGGAGGTCGTCGTCGACGTTACACGCCGTCTCGATGGCGAGTTCACACTCGAACGTGTGGAAGCTTTTGTAAGGGAGCAGCTCGGACTGTAACTTGCGATTTTAGGGTGAAGATACAGCATAAAATATGGATACAAGTGCTGATTAGATTTCTATCGGAGACTTATTGCTTCGTGTCATGCGAGAACAGACACTTGTCACCGAAGCGGCAGTTCTTGGTACGCGCGAAGTTATCGCAAACACGTCTACGGGTCTTGTCGAGTGCACGTCCACACTTCATAGCTTTGGTCTTGGTATGCTCAAAGTTGCAGCGATCACCCCATCTGCACTCTCCACGCATAAAGTCATAGCAAACCTTAACGGTATGCCGAGCCTTCTTCTGCTGCGCCCGCTGCTTGTGCCACTTTCCAGCACGGTGTTCGTCGAGCTGAGCGGGGCTCGTGAACGATTTATTGCACAGAACGCAGTGTAAGGTTTTGTCTCCAGTTTGTACACGCTCCAAGTGATCATTGGATGCTCGGTGGGTCTGAAAGTCTTCTAAATCTTTGCCAATGAACTTGCATGGCTTGCAGGCGAACGGAACCTTCTTAGGAAACGTGAGCGCGTCGCCCAGCTGTTCCAGTGCCTTACTGGCTGCCCGTTCGTTCTCCTCCTGCTGCGATTTCTTGCGTTTCTTCTTAGCTGGCGGTAGATTCGACGAGGGTCTTGCAGCAGGTAGCATGTTCTCAGGTAGCGACTCGATGCGCTCCGAGGCATAGGCAGACAGATTTACCACCACCTTGGCCTGGTCAATGTCGGAATCCGAATCCGAGTCCGAATCGGTCTCTGAGTCTGAGTCGCTGGAGTCATCGCCTCTACTTTGGAGCTCTGCTTCGAGTCGTTTGATACGCTCTGCGATATCCTCCTCCTCTTGTTTCTTCTTGGTCTGCAGAGCGCTCTCGGCGGACTGCTTAAGGCGTTTAGCGATGGGCTCCATTATTGCTGTGTTCACTGGTCAGGAAAGGGCTAGGGAGCGGACATAGTGAAACGCAGTCAACGACAGGTTTGTAATTTGGTTGAAGTTGGAAGCTTAGCATCAAAGACACCTTAACTGGCACTGCCAGTCTGGCAAACGACCCTCACTACTTCAGATAGCAGTTAGTTCCTCACCTCCCGCCTAGAAGACGACATCTGCGTCCGCAGACGGCTCGTACTGGGCGAGAATGTCGCGGTCCGACGCCACGACGTCCGCGAACGGGTCGTCGTCCACAGCAGCACCCGACGACTTTTTGGCCTCCGCCGCTTCTACAATAGAGGACAAGGAAGACGTCGTTAGCTCTCAAGCTTTTAATGCTGTGAACAAGAACATTAAAAATTTACCCTTTTCTCTGGCCAGGATCGCCTTCTCGTGGTCTTGCTTGTTCGCTTGCACCTTCTTGATGCTGCCAATTGCCATGTCAAACAAAAATGTCATTATAAGCTACGCGATCCCACCAAAGATCATCTAATGCAATAGTTTGTCAGTCTAGGGACATACCGCACGAAATCCTCACGCTCCAGCTCGTCCAACTCTCTCGTGATGTACGAGATCGTCTTCTCAATACGAGGAATGGTCACCTGCACGCATGAAAACACAATTAAGTCTCCGTAATAGCAGCAAGATCTTCAGTACAGGAGACGCACGTTGTCCAACGCGTTCACACGGCGGTTGGTCACTTTCAATGCCTCATCCAGCGTCACGAAAGAGGTCTGCCATCATGTAATAAATACATTAGTGCCCCTAACACCATTCCTCTTCCTTAGCTCGACGTCGCCCACCTGCAGCGATGCCAGTTTGATCAGTGCGCGTAGCAACACGCGGAACTTTTCGCGGCAGTTCTGGATCTTGCCACCTCCGCCGGCCAGACCGATGTTGTCGCTCTTCTCGCGACTCACTTCCACTTCCGTGAATACGGGCAGCTTGACCCCAGCCACATTGTCGATGCGGTTCTGAGTGCGGATCTCTGCCGTGCTCACCGACTCGATGACCTTATTACGGAAGTCACCAGCAGCGTACTGCGCTTGCGTGAGCGAGAAGAACGCCTCCGATGCCTCTGTCGACATAGACATCTTGGTCTGCTCGCAGCGTTCCAAAATTCATATCAAAATACTGAATTCACAGACGCCATTACCATTGAAGACTGCACATACCTTCTGGATCTCGCGCAGCATGGCTTGAAAGCGCATCTTCAGGGCATCGGCCTTCTTCTTCAGTAGTTCAAACCCTACAGACAGCAGTTAGAATTAGTTTCACGGCGACAAGGTAAAGAGCGACGCTCTGAGTACCCTTCTTGGCGCCGACACGCTTGCCCTTGAAGGTCGTCAGCGCCCTGCAACGATGTAACCAGCGTCAGTGCACACAAATCTCACATAGTTAGAACACCACCGCCTGTCATACTGGCTATAGACGCCTTACATGCGCGTGGGTGCCACTTGAACCGACGACATGCTCGCTCTCTTTCAAGTTTGCTTCAGAAGACTGCGAAAGATATTAAGGCGCTGTAGTTTCTGTAAACCCTAATTGGTGTGATCCCTAACGTGTACACAAATCTGATTTCAGGAATCTCTTGTTGAAGAATCTACCATGCCCTTGGACTGGTTCGCGACGTCTGGGGCTCGGAAGCTGCGCGACAGCAGTGCACTCAACTACCGGGAGTATCTGCGCCGAAGTGAAAGCTGCGTGTCACCGCAGGTTGAGGACGATCTGCGCCAGATCGAGCTGGATCTGCCGCGCACGGGCGCGTCCATACGCCTCTTCCTGTTGGCTCAATACGAACGGGAGGCGTACCAGGAGGACGAGGAACTGCCGCAGCATGTAATGCAGCGGTTTATACCCCATATAAAGAACATTCTGGTGGCATACAGCGTGGTACGCGGGCTAAAGTAGATTTATAGTAGGAGAGATCGAGCCTCATATTGTTATTTTGCAGAGAAACCCTCGAGTCGGCTACGTCCAGGGCCATGCAGATGTCCTGTGTTTCCTCTTTGGGAATGTAAATGAGAAAAGGGACGAGGAGGAGACGTTTTGGGTCTACGCCAGTGTCATTGAGAGGTGTGAATTGCAATTGACGAGCCTCGTGGTGAGCTCTTCACTGACTTTGGGATGACTTTACCATGGCAGAGTTTTTCCAGAGGACTTTTTTGCAAGGGCACCGAAGCTACACGGGTTTCAAGTGGTACGGTATTGTTGTGGGGGTGTTGCAAAGACTCTTAGCTAACAGTCGCTTGAACGATAGGACTGCAAACTGTATCATGAGCTGGTTGTGAGGAAACTCGTGCCATTTTATCCCATTTTAGCCAAGGTGGGGTCTCTACTCATTCCTTATTTGTGATGGTGGTATCTAAAGGTACAGTTTGGTTTGTGTCATTAGGTTGATCTGCCTCTTGTGACGACGCTGTTGTCTTGCAAATGGTTCGTCTCGCTCTGGGTTGGAGAACTGACTTTGCCGTTACTTTACGAAGTCTGGGACACGATGCTTCGGGAAAATGACGGCACGATGCTGCATCTCCTGATTGCACTACATTTCTTTAGACTTGCTGTGGACGAAATTCAGCTCCACATGGTAAGGAGTGAGCATGAATTATACGGCTGGGAAGAAATTAACGGTCTATATGCACAGGAAACGGAGCAGTGGGACTCGAGCTACATCTACAAGATCATATTAGACCAGTGTCAAAGCGCTACTGAAATCGCCCCACAGACACTACTTCAACAAGCACGCACACTGTATGGTCTCAAGGACGAATCTGTCGAGGACATGCGAGCAGCCCTTCGACGACTGCCTCAATTACGCAAGGCTGAATTCACAGTTCTAGCCAAGCAAACGCATTTCAGCCGCTTGGAAATGGAGCGACTTCAAGACGAGTTTACTTTTCTTCGCTACCAAAGGAAAACGTGTGGTCGCTCCAAGCTTCGTGGGCTGAGGCAAGAAGAGCTGGAAAGTGTACTGGCTCGGGAATTCAACACGGTAAACGCCCAACCAGAAATGAGGTACTATCGTCGCCTTTTTGAGTACCTACCTAACGCTCGTATCTTGATTCTCTTCTATCAGTGGCCTATGGATATCTATGGACAAATTTACAACTTTCTAAGACCCGACGGATACGGAAATATTTCCTATTTCAACTTGATTCAGGTATACTTGTATATTACCTTGTCATGCAAATGCCCGCTCGGGGATGTCTTAACATCGTCATATTCTTTGTTTCTGTGTCTAGTTTTTATCGGTTGCGAGTCGTGGAGGGCCAGAGGAAAAGGCACATCTATTGTTCCAGATCCCTAATCAACAGAGTCGCGAATACCTTAATCAGCAAGGCATCGAACAACTTGCAGGTGAGGCTCCCTTATACCTTCTTTAATACAAAAGAGACTTTGTTTAACCTAGTTGATTTTCTATGCTTCAGATTTACTATGCTGTCTACTGACGAATCGGATGTTGGCGGATGCGGAAGGGCATCGAATGCACGAATCTCGTCGACGTGAGAATGGCGAGTCGGTCTCCGATGCTGCCAAAAGCCCACTGCTACGACGGCACTTTCGAACCAAATTACTGTCGCTGACTACATCAGATGGCCGGCTTCAGTATGCTAAATGGCTCGAGTTTACTCTTTTGGACAGCGAGATAACTCAGTTGATGGAGTGGTCCAGGCGTCGATCGGGCGGCTTAAAATCACGCTCTGTGAGCTTCTGGGGTATGACTCCGATTCAACCAGCCCTGAATAGGGCGTCCTCAGACTCGACACTACAACAACAGCAACAACATTCTTCAAAAAAGTTCTTGAAATCCAACACTGAAGACAAACCCGAGCGTATGTCTGGAATCGGGGAGCCCAACAACTTCGGAATCGAGTCTGCACCATTTCTGAAGAAACCAGAATTGGCGGGGGAGAGTCTTACAGAAAGACGACATGTTTCTCTTCTCTCGAGAAAGATGAAAAAGAAGTTTAAGGCTTGTTGGCCACCTGAAGACGCTGATTCATTGATCCGTGACCCATTTAAAGAGCCTCCTGAGACTATCAGCTCCGGAAGTCCGTACGTGTTTTGGTGCCAATGCACAATAAGTTGAAGAATGAACGGTGCAACCTCGATAACTACAGTGCATACCTAGCTAGATATTTTTCAGTCGCTAGCAAACGTGGTCAGTGATATGATGTAGTCGACGTAGGCGGCCACATTGTCATTGATACTCTTGCCCTGGTTGTTTGAAACAAATCAAACTCGTGAGATCACCCACACTAACCGAAAGCACATTGATCGTTTTACCTGCACGGTCCTGAAAGAATATTCGGTCTCTTCGCTGCCGCGCACAACGTTGAAGACGAATGAGTTGGCACTGTAACCCCAGTTCGCGATATCCGCGTAAGGATAAAGTGCTAAAACTTCGTCGCTGGCGCCTAGGATACTGACACCCACGTCGTTGATAGCAAGAACGACACGAGCTGGCAAAACTGCTAGTTGACGCGAATTTCGCACGTGGAAAAGCGTTAAACCGTAAAATGGTTGACGTTTGCAGAGACGCAAATACGCCAGTCGCGCCTGCTGCGTCGACTGCACGCACAAACTATTCACGAAGGATTCGTAGCTAGCGAACACCTGCTCAGCAATGCTACCACGATTCGATGCACTAAGCAGTTGACCAGGAATGTACTCGTCAATATCGTTTCTAGTAAGCAAACAAAAAACATAAGAGTAATTTTTCTGTCAGAACAACTAAAAAATATACAACGTACGTGAATTTACTTAGCGTTGGAGTCTGGTCATTGCCAAGTTTGCAGAACAATTGATAGCCTGCAAGCTCGACAGCAACACCCACGTCACAGACGTATCTTCCACTGAGTACGTTGTGCACGGCTTGTAGATAGTAAAGCCCTACATCGGCTGCAGTTTCATCATCCACGTGTACCCACAGATATGCCTTATAAGTGAGATGGTATCCTTCAACAGCGGGAGCTTTGGTCGTTTCTTCTAACTTGTCTTTCTTCTTTTCCTTCTTCTTTTGGTTTAGTTCGCTCACATCAATGTGCGTTCGCTCCCATTCAGCGTAGAGATCCATAACCCGTTCATTTTCTGGGACGAGGTGTTGTTCCTCGTCGTCATTAGTCTCGAAAAGTGCAAAAGCTTTTACGCGACACACTCCCAGCTTGTGCGCTACCAAACCAGCTAGCTCACGACTCGTCGTCCATGCACTGACCTGCATTATTAACGTCGAGCCGTCTGCAAGCATCACAGTGAAATCATTGAGTGCATGTCGTTGTAGAGCTCTCAGCTCCGATGCACTTGGAATTTCTTTGCGTTCGCCTTTGGTGGCACAGCATCCTAGAGATGCTAGTGCTTCCAGTGCGTACGCCGAGACCTCGGAGTTAGCTTCAGAGTCGCCACCTGCTCCAATGTGAACGCTAATAAACCTCTCGAGACATTCAGCCAGTGGTGGAGACGGTGGGAAAGTCACAAGACAAGCGTTTAGAAGCAACCATCCGTTTAATACAGCATTTCTGACAATAAAGCACGAGCAATATTAGTTCAATCGGCTCAAAACAATAAAGACATGGTAAAACCTACGCGCTGGGATTGCGAGTGAGCTGCTTGCATAGTTGGCAGTAGATTTCGTCCTTCAATGCCGGGGACCGCGGAACGACGTTGCGTAAAAGCTTGAAGCAGTGATCAATCTGGTTCTTACCACTTGCTCGGTTCCCCATAAACCCAGAAACATTACGGAATGCTTGCAGCGCTATACCAGTCTGCTCTTTCGGAAGACGCGTCAATGGAGTTGTGATGAGTTTGTTTTCCCACTCGAGGCGCTTGTTCAGGTCAAACTCGACAGGTTTGTGGAAAGGTGAAGCACGTGGAGCGGTGAGGTTGAAGTGAGTTTGTGCAAATTGGAGTAGTGGGTGGACATCGAACACCATTGCTGGAGCAGGCTCCAGTGCAGCTTGCTTTTTCTTAAGCTTGCTGTTCTTATAGACTTTCTTAGGGTGCAGAACCTCTGGGGCGAGATGTGGTAGCTGGTCGAAAGGCATTCGAGACGAATCGTCTTCAGCATTTGCATCCGGAGTGTACGACTCGACTCCTCGGACTTCGGTGTCCTCAACAGGTCCCGATTCGTTGACATCGACAGGAATCTGCTCCAAGTTTAGTCCAGCCTGAAGGTCGGATTGGGACTCCCAAGCTGAAGACCCAAGGCGGGACTCGGCATCATCATCATCGTCCGCTGCCCAACTGGCAGGGTCGTGATGTAGCTCTGAGGAAGCCGCCAGCTCCTCCAAACTCGGTCCGGTCTCCGCAGAAATCGCGTCAAAGCTCGACGCCATCGCGTGTGTGTAGACAGAAGGTAGCCACTTAATTTAGTTGTCTCTCACCGAAATCGATGAGTCATGCTCTAAAAATGACCGAGCGTCTTGATCTTATCCAAATCGTAGCTCCTTTTGAAAAAGATTTCGCGACTGACTTACCCTCGCATACACTCATCCACGCAGGTGAGTTCCAGCTGTCAGGTGGCTACCAAATTTGTCCACGCCGGCCACTGACTGACAAGTTACCGTGTAGCCAGCAGCTACCCAAACGTGGTTACGGCCCATGTTGCAATCCAATGCCGACCGCAGGAAGATGGCTGCTTGTCAAGCCGACGACACCATGAAAAATACTCGTCCAGCGAAAAAGTGAAAACCTTCTTTTATGGTTAAATCACTAGCAATTATCTAAACTGCAATGTTTTGTTTTTATTTCGCTACATATTACTCTGTCAAAAACATGTCGCATAAAATACCCTACCCTTCGAAGCCAAGTGCGTTGGTTGCCTTTGGGAGCTCATTCATTGTTCCGCCGAGCCTCCAGCAGATCGATCGTCCAGCAGCCCAACGATGGCCAACGACAACAAGCAGCCACCTGTCCCCGGCCTCGACGGAGAGCCGCTGCTGCCCGCGGATGTTCACGACATTACTGAGGAAGGCTCGGACATGACGCGGGACATCTTCTTCGCCATCCTCAAGGAGACGCAGGACGGACCCCCGCGTCCGAAGTCACTGCCGGATCAGAGCGATATATTACACGAGGATATCGGTACGTTTAGCAGATACGAGCTGCAAACGGTGCTATTTGGCGCTAATTGGTACTTTATTGCTACTAAACAGGCAAGGCATCGGACATTGCGCAGCCCGGAGGATTCCGCCGCGACCACGTGATCACCAATTTGGGAGGCAACAGTCCACACGTACCATCATACGTGCAGGACTCGTTCCTTGAGTCCATCCAACCCACGCCAGGCTTCCTAGAATCCGCATACGGAGACTTCATCGTCGCCAATCTGGGCCTTGCAGACGACGACGACACGGATGTACGCGGCAATGGCCAGATGACACAGCAGATGTGCTGCAACAGTTGCCTGACTGAATATTTCTTGCTCTGTAGGAGACTGCGACGCCGCTGTTGAGTCGCGCATGGAAGCGAAGGCCCGAGAAGCAGCAACCTGGTGCCACCGTCGGCAAAACCGTCTTCACGATCCTCAAGTCATTTATTGGCAGTGGCATCCTGTTCCTGCCCAAGGGTTTCCAGAACGGCGGCATGCTCTTCTCGTTGGCTGCATTATGTGCTTCAGCCATCTTGTCTACCTTCTGTATGCTACGTCTGACGGACTGTTCCAACGTGTTGCTCCGCGGTGGTCGCACCAACGTGTCGTACGGTCTTGTGGGTGAAAAGGCCTTCGGTAAAGTAGGCCGCGTGGCTGTGAACATCTCGCTCGTGCTCTCGCAGATTGGATTCTGTTGCTCGTACTTGATCTTCGTGGAGAAAAACATCGGAGAGGTCATCTTAGCCGCCTTCGGTATCCAGAGAACCACGGCGTCGTCATCATTGACGCTCATCATGCTCCAGATCTTGTTGTACACGCCGCTGTCGTGGGTGCGTCGCATCGAATACTTCGCGCTTACGAACCTGTTCGCAGATCTGCTTATCCTGTTTGGCATCGTCTACATCATCTCTTATACGGTGCACACGCTGGATGACGCGCCAGTTGGCAGTGCGACGTGGGAAAACTTCAATTCGACGAGCTGGGCCATGCTGCTGGGCACAGCTGTCTACTGCTTCGAAGGCATTGGACTAGTACTCCCAATCTACGACGCTATGGACGATGATATCAAGCACAAGTTCCCGCGGATCGTCTCTTTGACCATGCTGTTCCTCGTGACGCTCTTCTCGGTGTTTGCTGGACTTGTGTACGCCGCGTTTGGCCAGGAGACGCAGTCCGTCGTCACTCTCAACCTTCCCAGCGCCCAAGACAGTATTGCTACCATGTCTGTACAGCTCACGTACTCGCTCGCGCTTGTGTTCACGTACCCGCTCATGTTGTACCCGGTGGTGAAGATCTTAGAAGGTTATCTGTTCCCTCACCACAGCCAGAAAGGATATTGGCGCTGGGAGAAGAATGGCTTCCGATTTGCGCTTGTGTGCCTTACTGCTACTATCGCGTACTTCGGCAAAGAGGAGCTGGACAACTTTGTGGCGCTTATTGGAGGCTTCTGCTCTGTGCCGCTGGCCTTCATCTACCCGTGTCTGTTCCACTCGAAGCTGGTGAATGACGGTCGTGCCTTAAACAACGCCGTCATTGCACTGGGTATCTTCACCATGATCTTCGCAACATACCAGGCGGTGTCGACATGGAACTAGAGCAAGCAGCAGACTTGTAGGGGGCTTCTTCTTAGATTAAAGCTCGCAAGTGCTGCCGTTTAGTCGTGAGGAGTCTTACACTCGTCAATGTCATGAAGAAATTCACGAACGGCTATGCCGTTTCTTCGGCTTCTTGTTGCTCTTTCGGTCACGTTTCTTGTGCTTCTTGTGCTTCTTTTGTTTCTTCTCATTGCAATCAGGTGAAGGTGGTGCCTTCACTTGTTTAGGTTTGACATCTTCGTCATCAGATTCTTCGGAACTGAAGTCGGGTGCGTTGTCTACAGACACGGTGCCTTCCGAGTGTAAGTTTTCCCAGAGCTTGCGAGTCTTGTCGGCCTTTTTTCGAGCCCAATAGCTGCGTTCATCCTCCTCAACCTCAGCAACAGGGCTACGATCGCGACTACGGCTGCGTCTGGAGCTGTGCCTGCTCCTGCTCCTGCTTCGACTCCGTCTGCGATGTCTCGAGCGACTTCGACTACGACTCCGACTTCTGCTGGGCCTGCGTTGCCGTTTTCTCTCGTCTGATCTTCTTCTATTGCGACTGCGGCTTCGACTGTCGGTTCGTCGGTCTTTCGCCTCGTCCAGCTTGCGTTCCATCCGCTGCAGCGTCCAGCACTTGTCCTCCTCCTGCCGCCGGTTGTGGGAGTTCACACTGCAACAATCGATCGTAAAAATGCTCAGCATGGAGCTCCGGCACAAAATATCAGCACCGCAGTACGAACGAACCCTCGGATAGTGCTGGCTAGAAACGTCTTGTTCACATCCGCTCGTTTGTCGCTTTGGGGTTTGTCCTGCAGCATCGCAATCAATTTAGCTCTCATTAAACGAGCCGGGCGAGCCCACAGCATGTGCAACACGGACCAGATACCCCATGACGCCCCTGGACCCCTCTACGCGTGGCTTCAGCGCCGCAATCTGTCTAGCAATCTCCGCCGCCGCGATGCCATCATCCGCCATCGTTGTCGAATCTAACTGGTCGAAAATCAATCTTTTCAAACTTACCGTAATAAACCCGAATACAAGACTCTTGCTTTACCATTGACCCCGCAGAATGGTGAAGCGTTTGGCGTCGCCTTCTTCCAGTTCCGGCAAGAAGCAGCGCGTCGAAGAGCCTAGTGAAGTCATGCAAAACACTCTCCAGACTACCGTGAAGCTCACACCAGCCGAGGAAAAACTCTTCGCCTTTCTAGTGGACGTGGCTGCTCAGCCCGCAGCCGACGGTGCTGTGCTCCGCGTTGCTGGCGGTTGGGTACGCGACAAGCTTCTGGGTCGAGACAGCGACGATGTGGACATCGTACTGGATCGTATGACTGGGCGTGCCTTCGCGGACCTAGTGAACGCGTACGAGACGGCGCAAGGCCGTACAGCGCGAGCTGTGGGTGTCATCAAGGCCAACCCGGACCAGAGCAAGCACTTGGAGACAGCCACCATGCAAATCGGCGAGAATATGGGCTGGGTAGACTTTGTCAACCTCCGAGCTGAGACCTACGCGTCCGAGGACAACCGCATTCCGACCGTGGAGATCGGTACGCCTCAGCAGGACGCCGAGCGCCGTGACTTCACCATCAATAGTCTCTTTTACAACTTGGCTACGAAGCAGGTCGAGGACTACACTGGCCGAGGTATCGAGGACTTGAGGAACGGACGTCTGCGCACTCCTCTAGAACCACGGGTTACATTCCTGGATGATCCGCTACGTGTTCTGCGTGCCGTGCGCTTTGCGTCCCGGTTTAACTGCACATTGGAGGACGATCTGCGTGCTGCAGCACAACTGGAGGAAGTTAGAGTGGCGCTCATACGTAAAGTGAGTCGCGAGCGTGTGGGTAAGGAGCTCTCCGGTATGCTCAGGGGTAGTGCTGCGCATCCTGAACGTGCGCTGTGCCTGCTACACGACCTGCACCTCTGCGAGAGCGTGTTCCTGCCCTCGGCTCTGCTGGAAAAGACGCCCGTTTGTCGTCCGAATGGCGAGGTGGAGGAACTTGATGCAAACGTGTGGGATCGTTGCTATGCTTACGTGTCCGAGATGTATCGCCACTTGTCTTCGGATGGGGTTCTGGACGTCGACAATCTATCAGCGGAGAAGAAGCATGAGCTGCTTGTCCGTATTTTGGCTTCTCTCTTGCTGCCGTTCTGTGGTCTATGTGTGCGTGATAAGCGCCGTCGATCAATCGCTACTTTTGTCGTCCAAGACTCGCTCAAGCTGCCCAATCGTGATGCAAAGGATGTGGACAATGTATTGACTCACGTTGGTAAACTCCAGGAGGCAACAGTAAATGCCTTTGACCGTGTGGAAGTGGGTCTTCTTATTCGCAGTATTGGTGCCCAGTGGGAAATCTGTCGTGATGCTGCGCTGGTGCAAGAACTCACGGATGCCGGATCGGTAGATGGAGCTGCAGAGGCCCGTGACACGGTATCGAAGCGGTACGATACTTTCAGCTCACAGGTCCGAGAAGCTGGCTTAGACGGTGTATGGGAACTCAAGCCGCTGCTCAATGTAAGTTGCAAGTGTGACTTTGTGTTTGATGAGTGTACAACTAACCATTTCTGTTGGCAGGGAAATGATTTGGTGAAGCAACTTGGCGTGAAACCAGGTCCGCATATGAAGGAGCTGCTCGATCGTATTATGGCGTGGCAACTCTCCAACCCCGAGAAAACTCGCGACGAGTGCATGGAGCACTTCAAGGCAGTTGTTGCTGCTGAGGCGAAGTAACGTTACAGCAATAGAAACAATTGGATGTAGGTAGTCGGATTAGTAGATATACAGATGCAGGTTGCACTCCTTTCTATCTAGATGACGACGCTAAAGTCATTGCGCTTGTCGCCTGACACCAGCAGCTTGTGTGGGAACGAAGCGTTCTCATTTACAGTCTCGATCCGCTCCAAGCAGAGGAAAGCGACTTTGGGCGAGTCTTTGGTCTCTCGCACGCGGAAGCCCACGGCCTCTAAGATCTTGGCAAAGCGTGCGTACGTCATGAACTGCGAGTGGCGAAGACACAGTAGCGGCAGCATCAAGAACAACAGTCCTCCTTCTTTCAAGTGTTCCCGATAGAGTCGCAGCATCTCGCCACGCTTGTCGGCACCAGGAACACAGTTAAGCACCATACTGGACACGACAACCTGGAACTCGCCCTCAGGTTTGAGGCTGAAGAAGTCGCGCTGTTCGATGCGTTCGTGTCTAGAGTTGAGGTCGATAGCTCGCACGTCCAGCCAGGGACATGACAGCAGCTGCGTGTTGATAGCGCCGACCTCCAACACTCGCAACGGAGGTTGTTTGGCCTTGGGTCGCAGCTCGAAGCGAGTTAGTAGCTGGAAGACCCACTTGGACGTGCGGTGGAAGCTTGTGCTGAGGATACTGGCGTCCTGGTAGGCCTGTCGACCACCCAATTCCTCTAACTGCCTGTTGATCTCAGCGATGCGCTGCTTCTGCGACTCGTCCAGTGACTTGTGCTGCTTGAGGCGGTCCAACTCATGCGTCAACCGATGGAAGTTCGTGGTCACTTGTCGAGCTTTACGTCGCGACTTCATGCGCGGAGGTGCAATGTGCAGTGCCTTGCGGGACTTTTTGGCCTTCTTCACCTGCTTGGCCGCCGGCTTCGACGCCGCAGCACCGCCGCCATTCGCAGCGCTGATGCCCATGGTAAAAATGCATTTACTGTTTGACTAAGTTGCTCTTGTGGCAACTTAAAAACCTTACGTTGCATAAGTGCGACTACCAAGGTAGGTCGCGTGTCAATCACAGACCTGATAATGCGCTTCGTGGCCTGCGTACTCTCTTCTCTAGCGGCATGGCGCGCCGCCAATGCATTACCAAGTAGCGACGTGTTCCGCAGAGACCGCTGGACTATGCATGACCCCGGTTTCCAAGTGAAAATCGACGTGGCACCGTCACAGGACGAGGTTTGGATCACGGAACAGAGCTTAGCGGGCCAGGAGAGCGACGCGCTGCACGTTTCCTCCACTGTGTTGGACGTATCTGTGTCGCTTCCCGAGGGCTTCAGTACCAATGAAGCGCTCGTAACCATGTCGATTTTTGAACCGAGCAGCAGCAATTTGGACGACGCGGCATTCGAGATGTTCATCGACTCACATCTACAATATGCGACGAAGTACCGAGTGGAGCTGGACCCCAACAAGGCCAGCGACCGGTTTGTGCTGCGCGTGTATGTGGAAGTCAGTGCTGCGCATCGAAATGGCACAAAGGTGGAACAAGCTGGAGCCAAATTACGAGCTTTCTATGCCCGGTGGGTCGATCTCAGTCCGTCGGAACCGAGGTTCCTGTCGTGTGAGAAGGATGACACTATCTACGAATATGAAGACGAACGGGTGTCGCCACACCCACCAACGAATATGCCTCAGGACCTGTGCAGTCGCTATACTATGGACGGTCGGATGCCAGTCCGCAAGTGGTACTTTGATGACCAAACGTGAGTGGGCTGTGATAGCAACCAACTGTTGAGTACATGTTGTTCTTCGCTAACTCGTTGCGTTTGTCTCTAGCGGCGTGGAGCGTTCGTACGGGGAGGAATTTTCACGCGAAACAATTGATTCCCTAGTCGAGGACGCACGCAGGAAAGTTACAGGGTATTCTAGTGCAGACACGTTCCTGTACTCCGCACTGGAAAAATATCCGCTAAAAGACAAGCGCGTACTCATCGTCGGTAGCAACGGCCGTCCATGGATTGAGAGTCTGTGTCTTGTTCAAGAAGCAACATCCTGCACCACTGTTGCTAGAAATCGACTACGCTACAATCACCCAAAACTGCAGACTTTCACCACGGCTGAGTTTATCGATGATATTGCAGCAGCTGAGAGATTTGACGTCATACTTGCAGTCAAGTCAATTGCGAGCGAAGGTCTTGGGCGGGCTGGTGACCCGCTGGACCCTGACCGCGACCTGAAGGTCATGCAGGAGCTGCACAAACTCGCCGCTCCTTCCTGTAAGCGTAGCACCGAACAAGGGGATCTAAAGAAGTCTGTCACCGTGTTCCTCGCTGTGCCAGTTGGACCTGATACGTTGGTATGGAATGCTCAACGTCAATATGGGCCTCTCCGACTGCCTTTGCTCCTTCAGGACTGGCAGCTTCTCGACAGCTACGGCTTCTCCCAGGACGACTTCACCGCGCCGTTCACTGTGTCGCACTCGCCACTCTTCGTGCTGCAGTCCACTGCATCATGTGATCAGGATACTAGAAGCACTGCAGCCGAGGAGCACACGGAGCTATAGCTGCCACGTCACAACACATCAAAACCACCAAAGTCTTCACAAACGCTTTCAAGATGCAGAAATTGAAAGAAAAAATGTGAAAAGGCGACACTATAGTCGATTCTGCGCCTGCTCTCTTGCTATTTTCTCGTGAGCTCAAGCATAGCGACGCGTCCACTCCGCAGCTTCATTAACACGTATACAGCACAACCAGTTAGCTCGCCAAACTTCCATCGCATTATCTTACTCAACGTACCCATCTGCACAGCTCCGGCTTCGTCCGTCTTCCAGTGGTCCGCGACGTCGTTGGCAAGCGGGTCATCGGGGTTGGGCGCCGACAGCAACGCCTGGATGCTCAGCAACACAGTGCGGATCTGCAGGGCCGGGGACCATTTGTCCTTGAGGATGTCGAGACAGATGCGGCCCAGCTTGTCGATGTTGGGGTGATAGATGCGCGTCAGGAAGCGCACCTTGGGAGGGGCCATGGGGTAGTCGGCCGGCAGGAACAGCTCCAGCTTGAAGATACCGTCTGCGTAAAATTACTACTATAAGTCCCAAATACCGTGCATACTCACAAGACAGCCACGTACTCTCGTAGGGCGACGACTGCGGACCGGCAATCACCACCTGGAAGTAGCGGAGGTTGTCTTCATACGGCGTTGCACTGATTCCAGCCACTGCAGACACACACTAGTCAGCACGCAGCTCTGTTATACACTTCAATATAACCGTAATGTACGCACCAGGCTCCGCTAGCAGCCGTTGGGTTTCCTACACGCAACAGATACATCGTCAAGTGATTGAATGCAATCCACGCCTTCCGACATCGTCTACAGCAGCTCAGCGAGGCGAGGGGGTACATACGCCAACGCTACGGGATCGTACCTTGACGATGCGGCGCGGGAGAGCACTTGCCATGGTTTCTTGGGTCTTCGACTCGCGCACTTCCTTCACGCGCCTGGACTGAGTTTCCTACTGATCGATTCTCCCCATGCAAAGCGGCGTTACCTGTAAGAACATATATTATGTAATTGTAAAGGTGACCCAACAGAGTGATGGTCATGTTGCAGTTGCCTTTTTTGTCCGCACTCGTTTGCCGATTCACTTGAGCTGGGTGTGCCGCGCTATATATAGAGAACGGCGGTGGCGGAGTGGAAGCTGAAACAAGAACGGAAACGGCTCCGTCGTGAGAGCGCCCAGAGGAGCGACCGACGGATGCTGCGGGGGCTGGTACATGGCAAAGATGGCGGACTTTGACGACATCGACGACTTCAGCGACCACGCGGTGCAGGGGAAGCCCATTAAGGCCTTCAAGAACGGCCACTTCGACAATCCTAAAGGTAGGTGCTAAAAGGGTAAAACTCGAAGCGATAGACTCATTTACCCTGGTTGTGTGTAGTGCTGTTCGTGCAGCATCATTGGACTTGGGATGAGTTCCTGTGTGCAGCTTCTCAGCGCCTGGAGATGGTCCCTATGGCCTCGAGAGTGTTTAACGCGGACGGGGCCGAGATCGACGACATTATGTGCATCGAGGAGAACGACATGTTGTTCTTTTCCACTGGGAGGTCCTTCAAGGCTCCAAATTCAAGAGGAGAAGACGCACAGAACAGCAGCGACGAGAAGGTCGCCAACGTCGTAGGAGGGTACAAGGTTACTACACTGCTGGGCAGAGGAGGCTTCGGAGAAGTGCGACTGGGGGTACATCAGCTCACGAACGATAAAGTGGCGCTCAAGTTTATTCTGGTGAGGAAGTTTGAGAGTGTTGAAGTTAAAATCTTGTTTATTGATTCTGGAAATGATGGTAGAAAAGCGAGATGGGGTCATTGGGAGACGTCGAGCGCACAACGACGGAGATCCAATGTCTGACAGTAAGTTTCATTCGTTGTGAAGATTTTGCCGTTTTACTTATTTAATGTGTAGGCGCTGAATCACCCGAGTATCATCAAGTTGCTGCGTGTGATCAACGAACCAAATCATATCGTGCTTGTGTTTGAACTCTTGGAAGGGTATGCAGATTTATTGGTATTCTGGTTGTGCATACAGTACTGATGTGTCTCAATACGCATCTAGTGGCGATTTGTTCCACTACATCAAGCAATTTCCAGGCGGCTTGTCGGAAGAGGATGGCGTTGGGCTATTCTCTCAAATTCTTGGTGGCGTCGGATACGCCCACAATCAGCACATTTGCCACCGCGATCTCAAGCTGGAAAACATTTTGCTCACAAAGTAGGCTTGTCATGACATTGGTGTTGTTTCATTTCCCTGACTCTAATGTGTCAATTATTTTGCCAGTAAAAACGATATTTCCACGGCCAAGATCGCAGATTTCGGCCTAAGCGATTTTTACAAACCGGGGGCTATGATGAAAACGAGCTGCGGGTCCATTTCATACTTGGCACCCGAAGTTTTCCGTGGGACATCCAATGCCGGCCCACCGCTCGATGTTTGGAGTCTCGGTGTAATATTGTTTGCGATTGTGTGTGGTCGACTGCCATTCGAAGGCCCTGATCTCCAAGGAACCAATCGTCCTCGTGAAAATATCATCCGAAATCGCATCATGCGGTGCCAGTTCAAGTTGGATACAGATTTGAGTCCTGCACTCACAGATCTCGTAATCCGAATGCTCAAGCCTGATCCAAACGAGCGAGCAACCATTCCGGAGATTTTCAGCCACCCGTGGGTGCGTGGTATTACTGGAGCTTCTGGCTGTCTACCAACTGCCTTTGCCAGCGCATCCTTACAAGACAATGTAGACGACGATGACGACGATGACGGGAGCTTCGCCATCACTTACACACCTGCATCTCCTACCTCCATTCCAGCAAAGACAAATGGCGAAGACAAGTTACCATCAATAGTTCAGCGACATTCTCGTACAGATATAACAATAGGCGGATTGATACCAAGTGTAACACCAACAGCTACTCATCAGTTGGTAACAGCAACCGCCACCTCCAGCGGGAATACGGCAATGCCCTCAAGTGGGAGCCCTCTAACGTCTAGTGGAACACCAACTGGAGGACGGATGCGCGCTGGACGGATCATGGACCACCCGCTTCAACATAAAGGGACAATGAAAGCTGAGAAGCACTCGCCACGGCCAACAGGATCCGGAAGTACTGGAACGATGAACACACCCATGCCCGTAGCATTGAGTCCGAATCATCCTGTCACTTTTAAACGATATGCTTCGTCTACAGGCAATACTCGCTCAAGACCTCGCCAGCCTGTTTCATCTCCAACCAGCAGCTCAAGTGGAGTCATGGTAACTAGCAACGGGAGTGATAAAGCCCACGCAGAGCGCGCTCCAGCACATCCCGGAGACTCTGAACGATTGCCCGTAGCACACCCCAAGCACTCAAGACGACGATCCGATAACTATGATGATGCAGCAGATTTTCCCATGGCTCATCATGGAACGAAAGCAGGTCACGGGGCTCTGAGTTCACACCCACTAGAGACGATAGGCAGGAAGAACCACAGTCACCCAGAACCGTCAGCAGCTAGCGACTAAGTAGTTACCCAGGAATCGAGACAGTAAGCAATCAAGACATCCAACGTATAAGTTAAAGCTCAACAAATTCACAACCTCATATCCATTTCTTTTTCAAACCACTATATGAAAAGGTCGGTTTGTGAGAGTGTAGATGTCGTACATTAGTCGTTGACTTTGTTCCAGGTGCTGCGTGTGTTGCTCTGTGCGAAAAAGTGGCTGCCCGAACTCCGTTATATCACTTCGGAGTCGCCGCTGTAAACGTGATAGAATGAAGGGGGTCTGTGCAAGATACACTTGAAAGATCGTTTAAAACATTAGCTGAACTAGCGTTGGTTGTCAATGCATCATAGACGCTTACCTGCTAGATCCTCATACTCCTTGACACTGAACGTGATTAATTCCTCCATGTCTAGATTTTGTAGCAGCGAGATGCCAACTCGGCTAACAGTTTTTGTTAAGGACAAATTTTAGCACGAAGTCTTTGACAACATGACTTAAAAGCGAAGTACCTTGCGAATGAGTCGCCTGCTAAGGTGATGACTGGGAGTCCTGCGTACAGTGCATCGGTCGCAGTTGAATGCGCACCATACTACATGTTATGACAAAAAATGGTTATTCGATGCTAAGCCGCCGACCAAATTCGGCCAACTTACGATAAATGTATCGAGAAAAAGTCCTCCAAATCGATGGCGCTGTAGGTGCTCACCCTTAGGTATCCTGCAGTAATATGTTCTTAGAAGATCAGCGTTGTTACCATGAGCATTCATTTTTGTCTTACCTAGACACAAATCGGATTCTTCCTCTTGAGATTCCTTGTGCCTGTGCCTCCTTCCATAAGTTTTTCTTAATTTCACGACTCGTGACGGATTCGGCAACACCATCTCCCATCTGATTCCTCCCCGGGTCCAACAACAAGAGAGAGCTCCTAGGCACACGGCGTAAAATGGACATCCACGTGCTGAATACAGACGCCTTCAGCTTGTCGATCTTGTTAAAATTTACGAACACAAATCCATCGTATTGACCTTCTCGTGTCTCAATTTTCCACAAATCCGAACGCTTTGCTATCCTTTCGGATGAAGCGAGAATTTGGTCATAGTGGTTGACTTGGTAGCAATTAGGAAGTACTACGAGCTTCTCGGTGAACGATGTCGCCAACTCCGCAGGCGGCACCACATATTTATCCACGATCACATAATCGATAAACGGCGCGCCTGACGTTCCCGGGTACACGAGATAATTGACCACAATTGGTGCTGGTCGAGCTGCAACAATTTGCATGCGTCCTCCTCGAGTATGACCTTGTGCGTCCATAATAATATGAATATGTTCATCACGAATCACCTCGGCACTCTGCTCGAAAGAAGCTGCAGACAAATCGAAAAACTTATCGACATTGTCAATTACTCTTTGGCGGATCGCGCTACCATCGTCTCTCCCATACCCGAAAGCCATCGCCTTGATCGAACCTCGATCTCTAGTTGCGAATATGCCCTCCATCAGATGCGCTGTCGGATGATCCGAGAAATCGTAAGATAGATATCCCACATTCAAACTCGCTAACTGCTTGTCGTGCTTTCCACATAGCTTTACTGGCGGTACAACATCATTGCTTTCTGTACCACCACCAGAATTGAACGCTGTAGAAAAATGTACAGCTAATAACTTTCTGTCTTGTGGTGACATGTCATGCAGTAACGAATCAAACGGTGTGAAAACCAATCGTGCATCAGACGTTAACTGCAGGCTGGTTACCATCGTCCATAGATAATCAAATTCGTCTTCTGCATTTGCCCACACGCAGGCACTAAGCTTGGCTCGGACCACATGTACCATGAGATGCATCCGTGCCATCTGTGCTGATAACCCATTCGGGTAAATTGTATCAGGAGAAGCGGTGATTTCTTCTAAAGCGCGCTCGTACCAGCTCAAAGCGCTCACAATATCTTTCGTAAGTTCATACGCCACACCAACATTGCCCATTGCCATAATTTTCAGCTTTACAGAAGCTGAAGGAGAATTTATCACATCCTGCAAAAAGAAAGTTAGCTGTTCAGATCTAGAACATCGCTATATCAATAAAAATCGCACCAGATAGTGTGGAATCGACTCATTCACATCGCCGTGTTGATGGTGGAGGGCAGCAATGTTAATCCTCGCTTCACCGTGAGTGGGTTCGATCGCCAGAGCCTCATTGTAGGCGTCTGCAGCATCTAAAATCTACGTCCAACACAAAAAATCTAGTTAGTCCTCTACCGAATAAATCTCCAGCAGCTCTATCAGCGACATACGCGCCTTGCCTAAATTATCCAGAGTGACTCCATAGTCGAAGTAAAAAGCCGCAGAACGCCCACTCTCGCCCACGCGTTTGAACAAGCTCTCCGCCATCGTAAAATCTCCCCCATGATGATACGCCAACGCCAATCCACGCATTAAGGAATCCACTTGCGCATTATCCAATGGGTCTACCTCTCGTTCTGCAGCGTGCAAAAATTTCAGCGCCTTTGGTATTTCCCGTTTGCCCGTGTAAACTTCGCCAATCCGCTGCAACAATATAACATTTCGTGGTTCTGTGGCTAATAGAGCGCTCAAAACTTCCAGCGCTTTGTCGAATTCTCTTCGTCGCTCGTAAACTGATGCAATGCCAACGAGAGCTTGTCGATCTCCAGGCTGTTGCCTCTCGATATGCTGCAATATTTCCATAACCGAGTCCAAGTCATCGGACTGCCATAACTGGTCAGCGGTTTGCCAAAGATCGTCAATACTCCATGAGATTACAGTATTAAGCAACGTAAAGCTTAAGAGAAGCAGTATAGCGAGGTAGTGGCGGGTTGATCTGGAGCTCATGGTATCTAGAGCTTTTTGACACGGTGGATCTTTTATCAAGTTCTGTAATAAGTGAACACTAATTTTCAGTATCCAATACACCAGTCATTCCGGAACAGATCCCGAAACGACACAAGCAAAGATCATGGTACAGGATACCGTTAAGCTAGACTCGATATCGCTAGCAGATGTCTTGCAGCACGTAAAAGAAGGCGCGAAAGGGACTGAGTTACATTTACATCGGTCTGGACTAAACCCCAGTCTGGCGGTGCAACTTGCGGACTTTTTGGAGACCAATGCGACCCTCACGCACGTAGATCTGACAGGGAATCGACTGGGTGAGCATGGAGCAGGTTGTCTAGCCACGTCGTTGATGAAGAACAGTACCGTCAAGAGTCTGGTATTGGATGACTGTGGATTGACGAGCGAGGCGTTGAAAGAATGGGTCGTCTTCTTCCGATCCGGTACCAACACGACACTACGTCACCTCAGTCTAGCACACAACCAGATCGACGACGATGGAGCTGAAGCTCTCGGTGCAATGCTACAAGCTGCTAATACACGAAACATGCTCTTCGATCTGCGTGGTAATGATCTATCAACTCACGGATTACAAATTTTAGCCGATGCCATGAAAAATTCATGTCCGGCTTCAGTCACTACCGTTCAGGTGGCGGGCAACCAGGACGATGACGAGCCGGAAGCTGAAGTGTATCGGACGAGGATGGAATTCTACTTGCATAAGAATATGGCTGCGATCGAGAGAGAAACTCTTTTTGAATCTATCAAAAAGATTGAACTGTCGTCGCTGGAGCTGGTGGTGTGTCATTTCCAGCACATTGTATTGACAATTGCCGAGGCGGATTCTCTTGGTGCTGCACTGCGGGGTAACCATTCGGTCATGGAACTAAGACTAGAAGATAACGCTTTGCCCGAAGAGGGTACACGACGTATACTACGTGCACTTCGCACTAATCGGAGTGTACGTACGTTGTCACTCGTGGACAACAACATCGGCGACGGTGGATTTCGTGAACTGAGTGAACTGCTTCGAGTACCGACAACAACGCTTAGAGCCGTCACGATTGCCAACCCAACGCAGTTGACCCCTGGAAATGGGTTGGAGGTCATCGCTCCACGCACAGGCAGTTCGCTTCATTACACATTTGCAAATTACGCTCTACTAACATCACTTTCGCTTGCAAATTGTGGACTGGACGATCTTATGGTTGGCGTCTTGGTCTCTGGTATCGCTTGGAGTGGACGTATCGAAGCTCTTGACCTGCAACGCAACAGCTTTGGTGACCGCAGTGCTTACGTTTTGGTACAGATGATGCAGCGCTGCGTGCGTCTGTATCGGCTAGATCTGGTACGTCTTTTTGCCTGTAACTAGAGATGGCTTCACGCTAACGTTGATCCTGTGTTAGTCCGGCAATGATTTTACTCTCAGTGGTTTATCACCGCTGCTCCCTGCCGTTTCCTCTCATCCACAGCTTCGTATGCTGCTCTTGGGTCGCTTTCCTAGTTGTGAGCAGTGCACGCTGGATCATATTATCAATGCAGTAGAGCAAAATCAAACGCTTGTTCAGTTGGAACTGACAACGACACACCGTCATACGAGTACGAGCGAGCGCATTGCTAGTCTCAATACTCGTCTGCGTGCGGTTCATGGCGAAGACTTCGAGCGAGAGAGGCAACAGCGAAAAGAGCAAGCGGAGATACATGAAAAGTGGTGTCGACAACGGGCTATCGTGCACCAACTAGCAAGAACGCTGGTCGATAACCTTGCACGCCATACGTCAAGATGAATAAAACTGTTCTGCTCATACAAGTAATACATTTAACGATACTCGACATGTACAAGATGCAACGGCTGCCAAAATGGCCTTCATGACGCTGTGTCACGTAGCTCTATCAGCTTGGGAAGTAACAGCAGCGTGGCTCGAGCTTTCAGCTCGACAAAGGCTTTTGCGGGGCCGATTAGCCGATGGCACGCGTCCGACAACTTCAACTCGTGCGAGCCACAGATTTAGCGCACGAAAAGATCGCTTTGCCGCTTTTAACAACCTTCGAGAACTAATACTCGCTCTAATCGTCGCCTCAAAACAACTATCTCTATCTATACCTTTCTCATGTCCATACAATAAAACCTTGGATATCTTTTAGCGTCCCTTCCCTGGCCACGATCTTTTCCGATGGACCAATTGAAAAACCTCTCGAAACTTGCGTTTATGCCACAATGCAAAGCAACCTTCAAAGAGCTCAAAGCCGAGCCACGTACGCACGCAAAAGCTGGGGCCAGCATTCGTTGCCCCCCCCCCCTCAGTCTCCAATCACGTCGGACACCCACAGCTCCAATTCCTCGGGCGACATGCTCTCCGCCGCTGTAACTCGCTCCTCCCGCATGACGGTCAAGGCCGTGCGCGCCGCCAGCTCCTTCCGTGTCGAGACGGACTCGATCGGAGAGGTCAAGGTGGACGACTCCAAGTACTGGGGCGCGCAGACGCAGCGCAGTCTCGAGAACTTCCCCATCGGTGGCGCCCGCGAGCGCATGCCCATGCCTGTGATTAAGGCCTTTGGCGTCGTTAAGAAGTGCGCAGCCAAGTACAACCTTCAGCAGGGCAAGCTGGACGCCGCTGTGGCCGATAAGATCATCGCCGCGGCCGACGACGTCATTGCCGGCAAGCTGGACGACCACTTCCCCCTCGTGGTCTTCCAGACTGGCTCGGGTACTCAGTCCAACATGAACACGAACGAGGTCATCAGTAACCGCGCCATTGAGCTGGCAGGCGGCGTTCTGGGTAGCAAGACGCCCGTGCACCCGAACGACCACGTTAACATGGGCCAGTCGTCCAACGACTCGTTCCCTACGGCCATGCACATCGCCGCAGTGCAGGAAATCCACCGTGTGCTGCTTCCTGGTCTTCACAAGCTGCACGACGCTCTGGACGCCAAGGTCAAGGAGTTCGACGACATTATCAAGATCGGACGCACCCACACGCAGGACGCCACGCCTCTCACTCTGGGCCAGGAATTCTCCGGCTACCGTGAGCAGATCGCGCTCTCTATTGAGCGCGTGGAGCGCGTCCTGCCCAACCTGTGCAAGCTCGCACTGGGCGGTACCGCTGTGGGCACGGGACTCAACACGTCCAAGGGCTACGACGCTGAGATCGCCAAGATCATCGCCGACGAGACCAAACTACCGTTCATCACGGCTCCTAACAAGTTCGAGGCTCTGGCTGCCCACGACGCTGTCGTGGAGGCCAGTGGTGCCATGAACACCATCGCCTGCTCGCTCATGAAAATCGCTAACGACATCCGTTTCCTCGGTTCGGGCCCGCGTAGTGGTCTAGGCGAGCTCACACTGCCTGCCAACGAGCCTGGCTCGTCTATTATGCCTGGCAAGGTGAACCCGACGCAGTGTGAGGCTATCACGATGGTCTGCGCTCAGGTCATGGGCAACCACGTGGCTGTGACGGTGGGCGGCTCCAACGGCCACTTCGAGCTCAACGTGTTCAAGCCCGTGATGATCAGCAACCTCTTGTCCTCGATCCGCTTGATCGGAGACAGCTGCAACGCCTTCACGGACAACTGCATCGTGGGCATTGAGGCCAACCGCGAGAAGATCGACCAGCTCATGAAGAACTCGCTGATGCTGGTGACGGCGCTCAACCCGCACATCGGATACGACAAGGCCTCCAAGGTGGCCAAGACGGCGCACCAGGACGGCGCCACTCTGCGTGAGACTGTCATCAAGCTCGGATACCTCACTGGCGAGGAGTTCGACCGCTTCGTGCGCCCCGAGGACATGATTGGCCCCAAGTAAACTGCTAAGCGCTCGTACCACAGCAGCCAGAGGACGGGTTTGCTTCCGTATGCGCAGGAGTTGTGTAAGAACAGAAAAATAAAAACACTTGATCGCTCTATGGAATGGCACAAAGCTACAGGAATGTGACGAGGCTCAAAGCTCTGTCCGTTGCGCCTCGGGTGTTGCCACTGACGTCACTGTCGGTACTGACAGCGTTGTTCGTCTTCGGTTGGTGGAGCTCTGCATCTCATAAATAGCGGCTTGGAAGGGCAGGTACAGCGCGTTCTGAATGGCAAATGACACATAAAATATTGGTAAATTAGACCTCAATCCTTCTTTAGCAGCGTTCATCTTCAAAGGTTGACGCACCAACTGCCGCTCCGCCGTTCCCAACTCCTTGGACAGCTCCACGGTCTGTCGATTGAGCTTGGCCAGCACCTGATTGAACTGACAACGTAGGAATGTGTCAATGACCCGTTCTTTTTTACTCTGCAGACAGCGTGTGATGCAACTGCTTGGCATCCTCACCTGTTGCATTGCAGTGGACACGTTAGCCATGGCCTCCAGCAGGCGCAACTCCTCTTCCGCCACGTCCTCGCCCTCCATCCAGCGCTCACCAGCGTCCATTATTGCAAAATTGTCAACTGAACCTTCCCGCTCAGAATTTTGAGCAAGAAACAATACTTTAAATTCTGAGTTTTCATTGGTCATTTAAAACACTCTATCCTTCTCATTGGCCAAAACCTTTTCGGTATATAATCAGATGCTTTTCATCCACAAAAAATCTGGAAGGATCATTTCCACACTCATCACCAAGACCTCACTGTGTCAATCCCTGTACGTCGCCATGTGGATGCAGAACTCAGTGGCGGGCGGCAACTTCCACGACCGCAACCGCTTCGGCTCGCAGTATGGGCAGAGCTCGTACAGTGGCGGGGCGTCGCACGACTCGGGCGCTGGCGACTGGAAGAGCAAGATCCTCGAGAGCGGCCAATGGCTCGGCGGTAAAGTCATCGAATACGGCGGGAAACTCGCGCGCGGGCCCAATACGGACTCCATCCCGGACCACTACGCGCATCAGATGCCTCGAAATGATGGTCGTGCCAATTGGATGGCAGATATCCGCAGTTCCTCGTCTTCCTACTCGGGAGGGGGCACTGGGGGATACGGAGGGGGTTACCAGAACGACTTTGCCACGGAGAGACCGAAGGCGTACTCGGACTACAACAGGGGGCACTCGAGTAATCCACCAAATGCTTATGAACCCAAGAGCTTGAGCTCCACGGACCACCACAAGCATCGCCACGCCAAGAAGAAAAGTGACAGTAAGAAGAGCAAAAAACACAGCAAAAAGAGCAAAAAGAAGCAGCAGAGCGAGAGTGAAAGTCCGTCGGAGAGCGAAAGCGAGGAATTGTCCATTTCCGAGTCCTCGGAGACCGAATCAGCGGACGAACGACGCCACAAGAGCAAGAGTAAGAAAAAATCCAAGACCAAAAAGCACGGCGGATTTTATTCGAGTGACAGCGACGAAGACGTCGGCAAGCGTAAAGCTTCAGCGGATTACTCGTTCTCGTTCGACCCAGCCAAGCTGCCGCCTCCACCCGTAGAGGAATCGAAGGAGTCCAAGAAACCCAAGAAATCCAAGAGCAAGAAGGAGAAAACTGGGAAAAAGTCGCGTACACGCCGCCAATCTGTTGCATCCACCGACGAGGAATCCGTTTCGGAGAAGGAAAACACTCGTGCAAAGGCGAAGAAACGTGGCAGCAAGAAAGCAGCAGCAACAGCAACAGCAACAGTAGACTTACTGGGAGTGGATCTGGATGCTGAGCCAGTGGCCCAGCCTGCCACTGCTACGCAGGAAGTGCAGCCTTCGATCTTCGACACGCCACAGAATCCTCTGCAAGATCTCGCTGGTTTGAGCTTCGCAGCTCCCGTACAGGCATCTGCTCCGCAGCCGTCAGTGTTTGATACCAACACGGCTGCTTCGACTCCAACTGAAGCGCAGCCTCAGCAAACCGAAGCGTTCCGAACGAGCCTCCTGCCAGAGAATAACATCGTGGACTTCAACTCGTTAGCGAGTGAGAAGAAGAAGACGCTGTCTGCCAATCCGGAGGAGAAGCGGACGTTGAACGACATGCAAAAAGCTCGAGGTGCCGACCAGCCGACACCTGTGATGGCGATGCCGATGCAAAGTCAGCAGATGCAGCAACCGAATATGATGCAGCTGAGTATGAACATGAACCAGCTCCAGCTCACAGACGGCAACATGCAGCAGCAAATGTACCCGAACATGCAGATGGCAATGAATCACCCGCAGATGATGATGCAGCCTCAAATGGCCATGATGTCGCAGCCTCAGATGATGAACATGCAGCGTATGCAGCAACAGCAATTTGCTCAAGCCAACGCGACTATGACGCACCCGTCAGGAACGCAACAGACTTCGCAGACCATGAATGGAGCTAACAACCCAGACCCGTTCAACCAGATCTCGTAAAAAAGAACAAGTTCCACCCCCAGGTTTGCTAGAGTGTCGTGTTCTTCGTAGCTTTGAACTGAACATGTTTTATTGTCTTCGGCTTTAACTAGAGTGAATTGTTGTGTCTGGAGATTTTCGTTGCCCAAGCAAATTGCTGCATAAACTTTATTAACAAAATCTCCAGGTACTTAGTTTTTGCCGACGTCTCGAGGTGCTCCCCTCTTGATCTGGACCTGTTCATTAAAAGTGAGTCAAGTTGTTTGGACCACACCTTATCCTCGAGAGCACTCTCCACCCCATTGAAATATGCTTTTCCTTCCCAAAGAAAGAAAGCACAACAGATTTCGAGTGCATGTCGGCGAAAAGTACCTACCTACAGAACTACATGTACTCGTACATTTGATTGAGGAATGTCTGGAACGTGTCATGGTTCAAGCGTTGCTTGTGAACTCCACTTTTACGTACTTTCGTATCTCCAGGAATTTATTATCTGCCGGCGCCCCCAAGGCGCTTCTCTCGTGCTGGTTAACCTTAAGGCGCAGCCACCTGGTGGCTCACCGAATTCCCTCTCTGTGAGGGTCCGTCGCGGACGGAAACCACGTCACGTGGAGAAGCTTCCTCGAGAGAACTCTCCATCCCATTAAATTGTGCCATCCGGTCCGCAGGACGACAGCACTACAGATTTCGAGTGCATTTCGGCAACAAATAACAATCTACTCTTCTGTAGACTTCAAGAATGTCTGCAGCGTTTCATGGTCCAAGCAAAATTGCTGCAGGAGCTCCACCTATATCTCCAGGGATTCGCTGTCTGCCAACGTCCCGAGACGTAACACCACCATCATGTGGGAATCTTTTTCGGGTGTACTCTGCACCCAATTTGCACCATATCTAATAGATTTCGAGTGCAACTACTGTACTAACTACCGACTATCCAATCATTCTCGCACATTCGACTCAAGAATGTCTGGAGCGTTTCATGGTCCAAGCAAATTGCAGCAAGAACTCCACACAATATCTCCAGGGGTTCATTGTATGCCGATAAGAGCCGAGGTGCTAGCCTCACGCCCAGGATCTACACACAAGGTGCCGCTTTTCAGCAACTCCCTGGCCCACCCAGGCACGAAGG